AAATGTGGCTAGGGAACTCATCATGATTTAAAAAGCAGAAACATCCTTCTGGTCATTCTGGTTTCTTCGTTTCTTATTAAGCCATCATGTCATAGAATGAATGAAACCATGACAGAATTAGCTGAGTGCAGCTGGATTCTGTATTCAGTAACTCACAGGTGTTCCATTCTCTCATAGTTCTTTCCTCTTAGATTCTTTTCTGATTTTCCTTTAGTACTGGATTTACTACTTTTTTAATAATTACGCAGATAGTTTTTAATAATCTTGTAAAGGTGTAAGCTCTCTCTCTCTCTCTCTCTCTCAAAACAGAATAAAATGCTCAGAAATAACTTATTTCCGTTTGTGGTGGAAACTTCACATTTTTATTAGCTACTTACAGAAAGTAACATGAAATTCTTGCAATTGTTTACGCGCTTCTTCCTCCTTCTAATGTACTTCTCACTTTTTCTTAGCTCTGACGCAGCCAAGTATCGACTGGCATGTGAAAGAAAACGGGAGAGATCACCACACAAGTAAATTCTCTAGCAAAGAGTTGGTTGTGAGGAGAGGTCAGGCCTTTGTAATCACCTTCAATGGAACAGAACACCCTGAGCAAACCTTTACATTCATCGCAGAAACAGGTATGGCTCCCAACGTCGTTCCCAGAAATTGCAATGCCTAAGCCACATTCTTTTGGCCTGGTATGTGCTATATGGTAGGCAGTTAATACCTCAGAACCAACATGTTGCTTTAAATAGTGTCTGAAGAGTTTGCTGTACTACTTACACCTCAGCTAGCAGAGGTAGTTTCTTTCATTTTCAAACATATGCCATATTAATCTAATAGAAGGGTTAAAAATCAGACGGGTTTTTTGACAAGTTACAGCAAGCTGGAAAGAAAAAAATTGTTTATTTTCCTTAAAAGGTCCAAAACCCTCCAAGCAGGCCAAGACCCAAGCCACATTTGGTATCTCCAGCACAGCAAGCAAGGAGGGCTGGAGCGCAGTTCTTCAGTCCACCAGTTCCCACTCCGTGAGCATCTCCATTTCCAGCCCAGCTAATGCTGTCATTGGACGTTACAAGCTGAGTGTTCAAAGTACTTCAGCTGGCAGCTCGTCTCCAGTAGTCCTTGGCACTTTTGTTTTGCTCTTCAACCCTTGGTCTTCAGGTAGGAATATATCAGCATTCCCCTGAAAGAACTGATTTACTTGTAGTTTGATTAGTATTTCCAGTTTCTCCACTTGACCTACACTTCTGCAGTATGGGGATAGAACATTCACCACATAACCTAGCAGTGAGAAAAGAAAAGCATACAATGGTTTCTTAGGACCTTCTGCTACATAAAACCAACTCTGTATCACGTATTGAATGGAGATCCCCTGGCTCCCCCCCCAAAATGCAGATTTAGTTCTGCCAAAACCCTGCAGGTTTTTTATTTATTTTGCCCGCTGTGATTGTATATACCTCTCCTTTGCTTTTTCAGGTGATGATGTGTTCATGCCTAACAAGGCAGAGTGTGAGGAATATGTGCTAGAAGAGTTTGGTATCATTTTTGCTGGCAACAATAATCATATCAACAGCTTTGGATGGAACTTTGGCCAGGTAAACACAGCACTGAACCAGCAGCCAGTGCTTTGTGCTCTTTTTCACATGAGCTGGATGATCAGCATGTTTATTTTTTAATGTTTATCACAGCCACACACCTCAGAAGATCAGGAATCTGGTAATGCAGTTAGAACTCACATCAACTTCTATTATATTGATTAATGAGAAAATTTGCAGTTGACTACTTGGTGATATGAGCTAGGACACAGAGTCCTAAGAGTCTGCTGCGCAGTAAAGTGGAGCATCACAGAATGGCACAGGCCTGGCTGCCAGTCCACACATTCTGAGTTTTGAAAACCTCTTAAGAGTTTTAATCTCCACGGTTTGTTGATGGCTCATTTTTATGTGGAATTCTTGGCTGAGCTGCAAAGTTTCATCTTATGGTTAAAGAAATATTAAATGCTCACGTAATTCTACTTATCTGTATATTTTAGCACAGTAGAATGATCTGTGTTTCTAATATACTAACATATTACTATAACATAGTTTCAAGCAGATATCCTCAGTATTTGCCTTTCCATGCTGGATCGAAGCTTGAACTACCGTAAGGATCCTGCCACAGATGTATCTCGCCGATATGATCCCAAATATCTGGGCCGTGTTCTCAGTGCAATGGTAAACAACATGTTCAGAAAGTCCAAACCACTGACTGTTCACTTTTCAGAAAATTTTAGGCCACTGTTTGTATGCACCACAAAGCAGAAATGCGGGCCAGGGAAATCCCTAAGTTGTTGTCTGGTCTCAGCCTTCCAGACTTGTCTCATTTATGTATGTCTCACACTTAACACTTTGATATCCAGTATGCAAACTCAAAGCTATGTTGTGGGTTGTTATGCTGAGCACTTTGGAGGTCTTTAATCCAACTTCCCATTTGAAGGGGGTCTACTGGGGCACTAGATCAGGTCATCCATGGATTTGTCAAGTTGTTTTGAAAATCTCCAAGGACGGAAGTTTCACTGCCCCTCTGGGTGACCAATCCAGAGCTGCACTGTCTTCTTAGTGACTAATTTTTCTCTTATGTCCGATATGGTCTTCCCAAGCTACAACTTTCTGTCGTTGCCTCTTGGCATGTAATATACCAGTGCAGAGAAAAGTTGGACTCCTGACTTTGTATGCCCCATACGAATAGTTGTAAGCTCTTACTATAGACTCCTTTATCTTCACCTTTGCTAGACTGAACTAGCCTGGCACGCTCAGCTTCTTGTAAGTGCTGAGCTCTAGGGCCCATGATCATCTTGGTAGGCTCGTCTCCTGGACCCTGCTCAGTGCCACAACATTCCCCTGAACTGAGAAGTCTGAAAGAGGAGCTGGACAGTAATCCTGGCACAGTGATAATTAAAGAGCTGTAACAGCTTCCTTCAGTATTCTGATAATTTCTGGCACTTACTGTAACTCCCAAGGTCATTTCAGCTGAGTTGCCACTCAGCAAGCTACTTCCCAGCCTGTACTAATGCATGGGGTTTTCTTGCCCTGAATCCTGAATTCTGCATATTTTCATACTGGATTTCATGAGATTTCTGTTGACCCAGTATTCAAGATGCTTAAAGTGACTCTGCAGTTCTTATATCTGCCCCTTCCCCTAATTTAACATTGTCTATACATTTGCTAAGAGTTCATCCTGTTATCAAGCAGGCACATTTTGACAGATTCACTGCCTTATATGCATTTATGTCATTCTATCACACAGTGGTAAAGTTGCCACCTCACAACAGAAACCTTCACCATAAACTTGTGTGTGTCATCTTGCTGGGTACTACTGCACTTGGGTGGGAGAAACAGTGGTTAATTTCTTTTCATTACTTAGGAGGACACTTCTATAATTTCTCTGAAACAATGAGATTTCCTCCTGAAGGCCAACTGTAAGAAGCAATGACTTTTGTCCATCAAAGTGTCATTCAAAGCTTTTCTCCTGTCCCTTCCTCCACCACTACTTCATCTATTGTAAGCTCTTGATTTATGTTATCATAAATTTTGTGAATATTTTTACAGGTCAATGCCAATGATGACCAAGGGGTGGTACAAGGAAACTGGAGTGGAAATTATGATGGTGGGAAAAGTCCAAGCAGCTGGACTGGAAGTGGTGAAATCCTGCAAAACTGGAAGAAATCAGGATTCAAGCCTGTTAGATATGGACAGTGTTGGGTTTTTGCAGCAGTATTAACTACAGGTATGATTTATGTAATGCATACAATGATACTGCACAGTGTCTGTGCACTAATAACACTTTCTACATGAAAATATTTCAGAATATTCATCTATTATATCAAACATGGTATTGTGGAAATAGTGCTTTCTGACTGTGGTTTTCCATTTTCCCTTTAGTGCTTAGATGTCTGGGGATTCCCACTCGTCCAATTACAAACTTCAGCTCTGCCCACGATGCAGATGGAAATCTGCGTGTGGATGAGTTTTATGATGCTTCTGGAAATCATTTGAACGAGGGAGCCGACAGTGTCTGGTAAGGTTCTGCAGTATTCAGTAATAGGACCTGTCAGTATTATAGTCTTCAGGTGCAGAGTATAGATTCTGATGACAAATACTCTATTAACTACTAAAAAAAATTGTCTTTAAAACAACTACATGCACAGGATCAACAAATATTATGCTGCCACAAAATTAGGTATTTTCACTTTTTCTTAATAAAGCAGAGAATTAACATCAGTTACTGCAGCAAACTGAAGCCAAGATAGACAAAGTTATAGCTGCCACACATTACTGAAAAAATGGGATGTTATACTGGAAATATCAAATATTGGAACCTAACTTTGTTTGAAGTTATTCTTCAAAACCAAAACCACGTTAAACTGTAAAAGTTCAATAGAACAAGCTCCCCTCTCCTTCTCCTAAAAAGGAGAAAGGAGAAATATTTCTTGCAGTGAAATAATTTGCAGTGAAAATAATTATCAATACTAAGTAACAAATGCAATGGAAATAAGCTTTCATTCAGCAAAGAAGAGTGCAGCTCCTCACTGTTTACCTTGTTTGCTTCCCAGCTTGTTCTGTACATGTCCTAAATCAAAGAGAAGCTTACAAAAATACTGTAGTTTTGTACAATAAGACGCACAGCTGAAAGTAAGGAAGTCCACAGTCTCAGAACATTTTTTGGGGGGGGGGAGGGTGAAAAAGAGGCTCAAGACATTTTGGATAATTTCAAAAATTCACTATCTTTCCTTGAAAATGAGTTCCTTGAAAATAGTTCCACAAGGCAGTTTTCAACTCTTGCATAAGTAAGATTGCCAGAATCAGAATGACAGTCATCAGTCACAGATAAGAACCTTCTGAAGGTAAAGCATTTGAGACTTCTAACTAAGAATACTAATTAATGAACGTGCATAGAAATGCAGAAACACGTGCCATGGGCTTGCTTTATTTATTCTTGAATGTAGGAATTTCCATGTCTGGAATGAAAGCTGGTTTTCCCGCAGTGACTTGGGCCCTTCATACAGCGGATGGCAAATTCTGGATGCAACTCCCCAAGAAGAAAGTGGAGGTACACAGATTTCATTCCAGGAGTAATGCTGAAAAATCATAAAGTCAGTCATTTTCAGAGAGAAAAATGAACTGTGAAACTGCTGTGAAAGAAATTTCTTCTCCTGCTCAGAAGCGGAATGACAGTTTCTGCCTAATTAATAAAGCATCAGTTCCTCTATGGATCCCAAGAAACAAATTAGGTTTCTAGGGCCAGTCTTCTGCATCTCTTTCTATATTTCCAATGTAGGTGCCTAGAGCTATTGAAGATTAATGAATGCTATAAAATAGATCAAGTGCACACTGAGAATAAATGCAAGACACACTGATTATTGGGTAAATACGATCTATGAGGGTCTGTGTGGATGAAACGGCCAGAATGGGCCACCAGCAATTGGTAATTCAAGAGTCATTGATAAATATCTGCCCAGTAATCTGCTTACTTTAAAACCATCAGTTAGTTCTAAGGTCTATTTTCTTGATGTCATAGGAATTTATCAGTGTGGTCCTGCTTCAAGGAATGCCGTCAAAGAAGGAGACGTAGATCTGGACTACGACTGTCCATTTGTATTTGCAGAAGTGAATGCAGACTGTATGTACTGGAATTATGATCCTGCAACTAGAAAGAAAACATTATTATTCAACAAGTCGACAGTAATCGGCCAACTCATCAGCACAAAGGCAGTTGGTAGAAATGATCGTATAGATATCACCAGTGATTATAAATATGAAGAAGGTAAAAAACTTCATAGTTCTATATTTGGTTCATTCCAGAAAAGTCACATAAACTTTATGATAGGAGCCTCTTGATTGGCAATTTTGGACATCTATATGGTAAGGGGAAAATTTATACTAAATTTATTCAGTTCTAGCAGAAAAGAAAAGAGAATGTAAAGAGTGAAAAATAATGCCCTCCACTTTCTGATACGTAGTTGCTTTGTGGGACCTAAATAAGGCAAGTCCAAATAACTTTGATCCATAGTTTTCACCTTTCTTCTATTTTCTACCTATCCTGCAGGTATGGGGAGTGAATGTGATGTTGGGTGTGTTTGGCTGTTTGTCAGAGTCAACAGACCACATTATACCATTGCCCTTCCCTTACTTAAGGAGCATTTTCTGTATTAGCAAACAAAACCATACATTTTACAACCATAAAAAACCATAGAAATGGAAAGGGTGACAAATTTTGGACTTAAGATACAAGAAGATGCTACTAAAGGGACAGTGACATTGCTGAGGGCAAAGCCAGAAAATTAAGTGTGGTAGTTGCTCTCTAAGTACAGAATTATGTTTTGCTGAATAGTCTCTAACTGTTAACTGTTGAGGATAATTTTCATTGCTGTTTCTAACAGGCTCTAAAAAAGAAAGAGATATTTTTAAAAAAGCCCGCAAGAAGCTGGGACTTGAGGATAAGTTTGATCCTACGGCACCAACACCAAAGGAAATTGAACAAAAGCCTGATATCTCAGGGAAGTTTAAGATGGCTGGTCCTTTAGAAGTTGGCAAAGACCTCAATTTAATTCTGGTTCTTGCAAATTTACAATCTGAAGTTAAATCTGTTCAAGTAAATATGACTGCTTGGAGCACTGTGTATACAAGAAGACCAGTCCGCGAGATCTGGAAGGACTCCCTGTCTGTCTCTCTGTCTCCTGAGGAAGGTAATTTTTCAAATCAAATAATCACACAATTCTTATTAAAAGTTATCAATAAGCAGGTGTTAGAAGATGGTCAACTTAAGTTGGGGCAATCAGAGACATTTACAAACTGGGAGAAGAACTCCTTGAGAACAGCCCTGCAGAGAAGGGCATGGGGATCCTGATGGATAAAAAGCTGAAAGTGAGCCAGCAATTTGTGCTTGCAGCCCAGAAGGACAACAGCGTCCTGGGCTGCATTAGCAGAGGGTGGCAGTGGGCAGGGAGGGAATTGTCCCCATTTACTCTGCCCTCATGAGCCCCTATGTGCAGTACTGCATCCAGACCTGTGGTCCCCAGGGTAAGAGGGATGTTGAGGTGTTGGAGTGGGTCTGGAAGAGGGCCATGAAGATGCTCAGAGGGCTCCAGCGCCTCTCCTGTGAAGACAGGCTAAGGGAGTTGGGCTTGTTCAGCTTGGAGAAGAGATGGCTGTAGGGAGACTTTCCTGTGGCCCTTCAGTACATAAAGAATATAAAAAAGATGAAAACTGACTTTTTACATGAACAGATAATGATAGGACACAGGGGAAAGGCTTTAAACTGAAAGAGGGAAGATTTATGTCAGATGTGAAGAGGAAGTCCTTTACTGAGAGGGCAGTGAGGCCCTGGCACTGCTGCCCAGAAAAGTGAGCATGCCCATCCCTGGATTAATACTGGGTGGAAAGTCTGTTCCCTTACAAAAATGTTTATCAGTTCCTGTTTTATTTTTTTTTTTCCCTCCACAGAGAAACATTTTCCCATTAAGATATCTTATGCTGAATATCAACAGCAGTTAACTACAGATAACGCAATTGAGGTAACAGCTTTATGTCACGTAGAAGGTGGGATTCAAGTACTGGTGCAAAGACACATTGCCCTGGACAACCCTGCCATTGATATACAGGTGAATTATTCTCCCTTTACTCTAAATGCAGTGGCAGAGTAAGGGGAAAATGAGCCCTTTAGGCACTTTCTTTCTCAGGAAGAGATGTTCTGCTTATATTCTGCCTTGGTTCATCACAGTTCCTCATAGTAATCCCTCTTCTGACATGACTGACAATGCTGACAATCTGACCTTTTAAGTATTTTCTTTGCTCAGGTACTCGGTGAGGCAAAAGTGAATAAAGAAGTGGAAGTGGAAGTGGTATTTACCAATCCTATTGATATCGAAGTGAAGGACTGTGTGCTGCAGGTAGAAGGCAGTGACCTGCTGAGAGGAATCCTTATGATAGAGTAAGTACAAAAAGTGCCTCTTCCTGCTACTAAAGATAACTAATCCAGAACACAGCCATGGATGACTTTGAACCAAACACAAGAATGAGACAGAATTTTCCTTTTGCACACAACTTTAAATTGCCTTTCCGTCTCACATAGGCTTTGACTCCATACTTTGGGAGGGCAAATAATTACTTTACAATTTGATAGAACTTTCTTCCCTACCCAACAGGCCACGACAGTTCCAGCAACAGCTTTATGTATGCCCATGCAATAAATGTTATTGAAGCAGTGTATGCTGCTATAGGCCAGACGGGCTGAACCTTCTTGTTCTGACTGTAGGATTAGCAATAGGATATGAGTGTTTCTGTCCACACTATGCCCAAAATATTCTGTATTTTAACCAGGATTTTTTGTTTTGTTTTTAAAATGGACTACGAGTGCCAGTCTGAGTGGTCAACCTTCTAAACAATTTGTATCTACATTAGACAGGTAGCCGTGTAATATAAAAAGCAGATGCACCAGTGTCCCAGCTTTGTAAACACAAATGAACACAGATTGTTTAGGAACAGGCTGTGATCTCAAAAAGTGGCACTTCTGAAAAAACAGCCCAAAGTATGCTCTATGTGTAGCTATTCCAGGCACAATAAATCATGACTAAGAAGGATGAACATTAGAGAACAGACTAAGCCAGGACCAGCAGTCTACACCTCAGATGACTGGATTTACTTTACTATGGTCTGGAACTTGAACATAACTTAAATACTTAAGGCAGGCAGGAAGAGGATAGGGAAAATAGTGAATATTATGATAAATAAAGATTGTCCAGAACAGGAACTATGAGTACATTGATTTTCAAGCTCTGCTTTTAGAACTCCACAAAATAATGATGTTGGGAGATTAATAAACTGAGTCAGAAAGGTTCTAGATGATGTTGAGATAGGGAATGAGAAGACTGGGAAAAAAATGTGTTCCTTTTACTCTAGATCCCAGCTACCTGTGATATGGAAATGTGCTGATTAAGTGAACACAAGTGAACATGTAATCCCTGGAGGTGTTAAAGAAACATGTACATGTGGTCCTAAGGAACGTATTTTAGTGGGTAATATTGGTGGTAGGTGGATGGCTGGACTGGATGATAGAGGTCTTTTCCAATCTTTATGATTCTGTGATAAACACATACATGCACACTGACAAAAAAACCCAAAACAAAACAAAAAACCATTCACAGCAACTTAAGATGGTCACTCTTGCTTGAACAATTATGTCTATCTCATATATTCCCTATTCCCTTGAGGGAATTCAGTAACCTTGTGTTACATATTGTATACAACTTTATACTCAGGCAAGACAAAATATCACAGGCTAAGACTCTTCGGTAAAATCATAAACATGGATTTCCTAGAATTATAAAATATACTAGTATAAAACATTTTAAGGTTGATTTAGAATTTCCTGGTGTGCAAACACTTTTCTCACGTTGCTACAGTCTACTGTAATTCAGGAGTTTGCATCAATACTCCTTGTGGTTCCAGCTCATTCAACACAATGATGTATTTTATGCTTCCTGTTCTGCATGAAGCTTTCTCTTATATGAGATGAGTATGTTTTCACCCTGATCCCAAGTAAGCTTATCTGGATTACTGCATGTTTTTTGAGTCCTTAATGCATGGTCTTGAGTATTTAAATATACACCATAGAAACAGGTTGAAAAAGACCTCCAAGATCAACAAGCTCAACCTCAACCCATCCCACCATGGCCACTGACCATGTCCCTCAGAGCCACAGTTCTGGAACATGAAAGAAGAAATTATTCTTAATATTCAATCTGAAGTTGATTCCATTGACTGGCTTTCCACTGTTGAAAATGGGAGTCAAGCCACCCAGTCCAGCATGGTGCTGTCAAATAGCTAAGTGTTGCACACTATTTTCATGACCATCTTAGACTGAGCTGATAGGAGTTCTTACATAAGGATGGAAATGGCTGAAGAGTAAACTCACATGTGATGCATAAGCCTATTTTCAGCTTATATTTTTTCTTTTGTTTTCTATTTCTAGCGTACCACCATTGAAAGCTAAAGAGATATCCAGTACAAAATTTAAACTTACTCCTTTTGAGACGGGCTCCAAGCATCTGCTTGTTAATTTCTCCTGTGATAAATTTGCAGATATCAAGGCCTTTAAAACTGTAAAGGTGATTGACTAACAGGAAGATACACAATAAACGATCTTTGTCCCTACCAAATGCAGGGACATTGTACAAAATGGTGTAAGAAATGTACAAGAAAACTAGGAGAAGAATAACAGAACAAAGTCCTTGCTTCCTGTGATACGGGTTTATCAACTTTATATCATTAAAATTTTACATTGTAATTTTTAATAAACTGTGGAATGGTTCACTTACTACTGTGCACATCCATGTTAATTAAACAGAATATCTTACCTTCTACTCAGAGACTGTTTGCTTGACTTGTGTCTGCTTTTGTTTGGAAATCATTACTTCTGACTCTGGCTGTTTCTACACAAATATAAACATGTTTTTACACATTCAAAGCCTTACACAGTGCAATTGCAAAGTAGTGTTTCCTTTCATTGCAATCATGATACTAGAAAGTAGCTAGGATTAAGTGCATGTTTTACACAGTTTTGGCCAGTCTTTTTAGCAATAATGAGTAAGTATCATGACATTTTTCTTTTCTGCCAAATCACAGTGGCCAAGTGAGGCACAGGAAAAGCAATTTGGATGACGTCCAGCATGAGAGCAACTTGGTAGAAATGTTAGGATAATTGCCCAGTTCAACGTACACGAGGTTCTTTTTGCATGCTGCTGTTTTGTACTCACTGATACTCTTCGCGAATCAGAGGGAGAGTAATCTTAGGTCAGGGGGTATTTTAACTCTGGAAAAACTAGAATTTATCACTATAGTTTGTGTGTTAGGAAGCCACCTCTATCAGCAAATAATATATTAAATACGGAGTCCAGTAATGTTGAGATCAAGTTCAGTATACCTTCGTTAAACTTTTAATGGCAGATAGGTGCAGACACAGACGTGAAAAAACTGGTGCGAGCAAAGAATGCATCCAAATTTGTTTGACTGTTGTGAGGGCCAAAAATGGTAGCAAAAAGGCTCATCTTAATAAAAGGTGCCTTAGCCTTCCTTTAAAAATTGCATAATTAACTTAATTTATGAATTCCACATCTTGAATTCCTGTTGCTAAACAGTATGTGTAACAGTAGATGTTCTTTCAATGCAACTCTACCTGGCAGGTGATTAAATAGTTTGTGGGGAAGCAGAAGCTAAAAGCAAGATTCCTGGAACAAGTGAGCTAGGTGTAGCCCATTAAGTGATTTACTTTATGATAATTATGCAACACTAAGTCAATCTCTGACTGAAAAATGAACTGTGTAGATGAAGTGAATGAGAAGTCATGCTACTGCTCTATTGTACTTTGGACTGCAGAACCTGCCTTGTACCTATACCCTGCAAAAGTACTTGAGGAGGGCACCAGCAGCCATCTAACTTACCAGTGCCAGACACATGACATTAGTACATCATTATATTGGCTGCATAACCACATAGCTACAGGGAAGTTGTACAAATAGCCCACAGATTTTCTCCTGATGTTCCTTAAAACTTGCAGGAACAAAGACCAAATGATGGAAGTTCAAGCTTAAGGACAGACTTTGACTCAGAATTTCAACTTCTTTTTAAATGAGTGAAAACAACCAGATTCAGGTGAAGTCAAGCAAATTGCACTGCAGAAATGACAGAATCTGGTGAACGTCTAGGGGAATTAAAGAAAGGCAACACCCTTCCCTTGCAACACTTCACATGTGCATAAAGTTAACACATCTAATTAAATGTGTGCCTACTGGGATACAGACTCGTAGATAGGATTCTGCAATGTTTTTGTGGAACTTATACTTTCTAGAAAAGACTAGCAACAACATGAGTTTAAGGTGCAATAAGGCTAATCAGAGGTCATGATAGCACAATACACAAACAACAAATTATTGAGGAGGCAAGAAAAATGTAAGTTTAGGTTTACACTGGAAAGTTGGAAAACTGAAGGGCAATTTCAAGGCCATGAAACTATGGAAAAGAAGGAATAAAATATTTTGACCATTTTGGATGATAGGTGGGTGGAACTGAGCTAGGAAAAACACCTGTGACACTATTAAGTCATTAGTCACATAGGAACCATGACCGCTGCATTCCAAAGGGATTACAAAAGTGGCTGCTGATGCTTTGGTGTGGTGAAGGTGTCGACCGTCAGGTGCTGGTTTAGGATGTAGGCCACTATGAAAGTTTAGGATGGCTTGGTGAACACCACAGCGGGTACGTCACAAGAGGTAAAGGAGGTGGATGCAGCCGAGACAGAAAAAGTGGTGTGAATTTTAATTGCCTATGTGAGTAGTAAGGAAGTAGAAAGGAACTAGTCATGCTCCAGAGGGAGCAGTGTGAAGCGTCTGAAGCAATCACTGTAAGTACTGAACACCTGAACTTAAGAACTGGTTGATGCGGTTCATCACTAGGACTGTGTGTGAAGATCAGGTAACATCAGAGGCTTGTGGCTCTTATGGTTTCCAAGGACTATGAATTAAGGAGAAGAGAAAAAGACTAACTAAAGCAGCTCTGAAAAGCAATCAAATCCATTCAAGGAGACTCCTGGAACAAGTTCTGAGAGCCTGAATATCCCAGGAACTTCCAAGAAGAGGAAGGACGTCTGAATTATAATGTAAGTGAAAATATACACTGTCATAGCAGATACAGTGCTGCCAAGTATGAAAAGCTTTAGTGTTTTTCTTTCAAGACTGGACAGGCATGAAAGTCATATAAGTACTCTTCTAGTTTTCATGCTATCAAAGCCAAGTTTCACAGAAAGATGTGAGAAGCCTACATATATATATATATGTATATACACATATACATACATATATATACATATATACACACATGTGTGTATATGTATATATATATTTAAATAAATATAAAAATATGTATATACACACATATATATATATTTAATTTTAGAAAAAGAATAGATCATAATTTCTGTTTATTTTCTATTTTTTGCTGTAATTTAAAAATTCAGATTAATATTTTTTTTTTTTTTTTTAGTCTTTACTGAGCACTAAACATGATCAGTGGAGATGAGAAATTTAAACATAACAATTATTTGTCCCCAGAAAAATGTCACTTTATTAACTGCATGCTTTTTAAGTAAATTTTGAAGTTTGCACTGATAGAAAGTATTCGTGGTTAATAATTTGGGGTCTGGGTTTGTGGGTCTGTTTTGTTGTTTTTTTTTTTTCTAAAGAAAATTTCTGTTTAAATAGATAATACGGAGCTGGCTAACAAAACACGTAGACATATATTTGTTTCTAGTGGGAATTTATCATTTCACCTAGGGCAGGGGGCATGGTCTCAAAACCAGAAGTCACATTAACCAACCTGGAAGTTAAGTCATCAGGAAATGCCTCTTTTCCTTCATATGGTTTGTATGTCCCACCACACTCCCTATTTCCTCATCCCCGAAGATAACTTATTCATGGCACACCCATTATTCTTTGTAGGAAGTTCTACTCGTCTTGGAATTTGGGAGAATGCATTTCCTCTGAGTAAATAATTTTGGTATCTCCTCCCGTAATTACACCCACATTGTACAGGAACATTGGCATTAGACATACTTCTATTATAGCAACTAATTAATTCATTTGACAAGTCTACATGTATTAATAACAGCTGCTAAGTACCTATTCCTCTTCGTGAATTTCAGTTGGCGGTACACAAAGATTGCTGGGTTTCTTCGTTTTTTGAATAGCGCAAATTGGACGCCCTTGAAGAACAAAGTAGAAGGCGTATGCAATTCACATAAGCTGAGGGGATGGCAGGTGAGTTCTGTGTGTCAGTTGCTTCCCTTCAGGACTGGTTACTTATGATACATGCCCTGTAGAAATCTGCACAGTTTTTTTTTTTATCCAGAGGAAATTTCATACTACCATTTGCAACTCATTTTCAGTGTCTTATTGTCATTACCAGGACTGTCTGAAAATTATTTTCAGCTTAACAGGAGTTGTTTTTGTGGAGAGAGAAAAAAAAAATTCCCATCACTTCTAAGGCATCACACCTAAATCTATATAAACTCTATTTTTAAATGCTTGTTCAAAAACATTCTACTTTATTTTGTATGAAGAAAACTTGTGTAATCCAACATTAGCAAGCTGCGAGCATGAACTCTACAGATGGGAATTCAAATAAGCCTTAAAACCCTAGTAATGACAATATCTCTGCTTCCTATTCACCAAAATCAATGTTTAAAATAATGACTGGTGATCTGGACAATTGGAAAGCAGTACTATCTTTTATTCAATTGTGGAAGACAAGTTTTCAAGTCAATTTTTTTAAATGTTGCTTTGCTAAATGCTTAATGCAGTTGACATCTTAAACAGCTTAATGCAGTTGACATCCCAGAAATGTGTGATACTGTTTCTTTCAGTTTGTCAGTGCTTACTCACATTACTTGTTTGTGATCTCAGACTACAAACAAAATACTCTTCTCTCTTGAATTATTATACTTTTTTTTTTTTTTTTTGACAGATTAAGGTAGATTTTGCTCTTAATCTTTCTTCAAAGTTTGTATGTTGATCGTATTTTAAGATGCAGCTGTATTGTTTCAGATCCGACTTAGTACTTTGTTGCTGTGCTATATGGTGTAATGTATGGTATGAGACAGAACTGGAAGCTTGTCTGAAGATCTCAACCATAATACGGCATTGTGCCACAGGCCTTAATCCATCCTTTCCCATTTTGAGCGTTGCATTGAAGCATGAGCAAGAGAAGGGAAAACATTCCTGCTAGGAGAATCATATACATACTTGCTTTTATGCTAGTATATATATATATATGCTTACTTACATAATGCTCGTATTCATTAAGCATATATGCTTCGATGCTAGTATAGCTGTTAAGGTGGCAAACACTGCCTTGTGGATTTTATACAATAGACTGTGATAAGAGTATGTGTGGAGGGGGCCACTTGTCATCAAAGAACTCCAAGCACATTAGAAGTCATCAGAATTAGTCTAGGACATGATGAAGGTAAAACCTGCTAGAACAGTAATCCCAACCATCCACTTGTAATTTTGGACAGTGCTAAGCTTAGCCAGATGACTTTCTGTGTCAAAAGATTCAGTGTATTATAGAATCGTTTGAGCTGAAAGGAATCTTTAAAAGCCATCTGGTCCTACTCCCTGCAATGAAGAGAGACACCCACAGTTTGATCAGGAGCTCAAACCCCCTCCAGCCTGACTCTGAGCATCTCCAGAGATGGTGATGGATGGGAAACCTGTGTCAGTGCCTCACTGCTCTTATTGTAAAAAAAAAAAAACAAACATATTCCTTATATTCAATCTAAATATCTCCTCCTTTGGTTTGACATCATTTCCCCTTCTCCTATCACAACACACCCTTCTAGTGAGTTTGTCCCCTTCTTTCTTACAGTCCCCCCCTGCTGGATACTGCAAATGTGTCCACAAGTATTTCTTATTCATTCTTTAAAGACAGATCTTCTCTCACTATGCATCTTTCCATTCTCTAGTCCAGATGGCACCAAAATGTAAGCAGGAAAGGTAAGACAGACATCCTAACAGACATCTCTGGAAAACTGAAACATATATGTTGAAAAGTGGATAGTATGGACAGTAGCCACTTCATTTGGTGCTGACTTTGGAAAGACTATAATTTGCTTCCATAAATTTTTCAGTCAAAAAAACAGCATCAAATCTGTATATAGGTACTAGGAAGTATTTGTTATCTTGGTGTTTGTCCAGTAACAAAATACAAGCACAATTCTTCTGTTATTAACAACTAGACTTCATCAATTTAGTTGACCATCTGCTCTTTATCTGTCCTTCTTCCAATAAAAGATAACTGCTCTTGCCAATCTCATCGTTCTACTTGGCAGGAAATGAGTTGTTCTCATGCTGTCAGCTTCTTAATATTTTCTCTTAATTTACAGAACTGAAACCAACACATATTAGCTGGCAGCCTTCAGTAAATGCAAGCGCACACCATACTGACAGATATGCCAACACTGAGCTGACCGTGAGGCGTGGACAACCCTTCACTATTACTCTGTACTTCAACAGACAAAAGTACCCTGGGGAGAGCCTAGCCTTTGTCACTGAAATAGGTAATGCTCCCTTAGATTACTCCACACTCACACAGCTGTAAGCACTATTCATTCTAGTTTCCCCTTATTATCACAGAATGGCTTAGATTGGAGGGGACTTTAAAGATCATCCAGTTCCAACCCCCTGTTGTGGGTTGGTTGCTACCCACCAGATCAGGGCCCAGAGCCCCATTCAACCCAGTCTTGAATGCCTCTGGAGAGTTCAAAACCATTCCTCCCCGTCCTATCAGTATCAGACTGTAGAAATATTTGGTCTCCTTTTTGCCTCTAAGCTCCCTTCTTGTACTGGAGGGCACAATGAGGTTTCCCTGGAGCCTTCTCTTCTCCAAACTGAACAAGCCCAACTCCCTCAGCCTGTCCTCACAAGAGAAGTGCTCCAGCCCTCTGAGCATCTTCATCACCCTTCTCTAGACCCACTCCAACACCTCAACATCTCTCCTACACTGGGGACCACAGGCCTGAATGCAGTACTGCAGGTGGGGCCTCAAGAGGGCAGAGTGGATGGGGACAGCCCCCTCCCTGCTCACTGCCAGCCCTCTATTGATGCCACCCAGGATGCTATTGGCCTTCCAGGCTGCAAGCACACACTGCTGGCTCATGTCTAGCTTTTCATCCAGCAGGACTCCCAAGTCCTCCTCCAGCAGGTCTGCTCTCAGAGCAGACAGATGCTACTCTTGAGGTTTGCCTCAACCCAAGTGCAGCAACTTACACTTGACCTTGTTAAAGCTCAAGATAATCTCATATACCCAATTCTTCAGGGTGTCCAGGTCCCTCTGGATGGTGTTTCTCCTTTCTATTTTGCCAACTTACTATTATGCTTAGAGATGCAAATTTTCTTTGTGCTTTTCTAACACTTCTTCCCCTCACAATATGTTCCTTTGCGTGGAACCTTTGTAGCCTAAGTGTGAGGTTAATACTGAAGTAACCCTTTAGAATGTAAACTAATTTCCTCATCTTTCTGGCAGGACCAGCCCCCTCAGAATCCCATCATACAAGAGCTGTATTTAACCTCTCTGAGGTGGGAGCAAGTGGCTGGAGTGCTGCCCAGGGACCCAGTGAGTCTGGACATATGACCTTTATAATATCTAGCCCAGCTAATGCCATCATTGGACGATACAATCTCATCCTCCAGGTAAACTCAGGGAACAAGATCTTCTCCAGATTCCTGGGGCAGTTTGTGATTCTTTTCAATCCTTGGTGCCCAGGTAGGTGCTGATGACCTTTCTCTTGAATGCAACTATCTATTAGCTTGCTCCTTCAAGCTGGCTTTCTTTGGGTTGCTATATCTCAGCTACGCATTCACAGATCTTGTTTCACTACATTAAAAACGCACCACCTTCTCTCACCTTTTTAATGAAATGTGCTCTATGGGATGATTACAGACTGTCTTCAGGACTGAGCAGATCGCATATTCTGTAGATGAGAGCTAAGAGACTTTCATTTGCATATGTACATTTTCTGAAATGTAATGCCCTTTACTCACACCAAAATCAAAGCAATACTGCTCTTGTATATGTTATCTGCAGAGATAGTAGCCCATCTATCCTTATAAAAACTGATAGAGGACTAATGTGAAGACTGGTACTTCCCACATCTTCTTCATGGGTTGAAAAAGGCCTTCTCTTGCTGCCCACATTTTTAATTTCTGCAGCCTCAGCATGCTGCAGAAGAAATGCAAATTCCTAAACTCAG